TTTTCTTCCGAGCTGAATGTGTTAATTGAAGCGAACGAAGTGACTGTGTATTTGTGCAGAGAAAAAGATGAAGAAAGAAATATAAAAATTATAAAAAAGGGGAAAAAGGGGAAAAAGAAATAGCAAAGTGATAGTTGGTGTTTCTAAAATGCAAAATAGAAAATAAATTAACTATAGTGATTAATAAATCTGTCCATTCGTCCATGTTCAGCCTGGATTCGTTCTCATTTAATATTTTTGTTATGAATATGTTAGTATGTATTTTGAGTAATTAAAATATAATCTAATATTATTTTCTCTAAAGGGAATTTTGCAACTGTGTAACTTGTTGCATGCAAATATTTGATTAGAAAAAAAATAGAAAATTCGTATAAAGATTAATTTTGAAAAATTTTAATTGTTAGATTTTCAATATTTTACAGTATTTTTTAGAGAATTTTTTACTCTTTACCTATAGAATAATTTGAATGAAAACTTTTCAGGATAGAATTTCAACGTTGAGATAGAATTCAACACTTTCGACACTCATTTAAATACCGAATCTTTTATGTATGGTATGAAGAATTTTAAGCTGAGCTGAAATTGATAGATCGTCGACACTTAAACGTCTCCTCTATTCTATTCCAGATAACGTTGGTCTTATTGAAAACCAGATAGCTTCGATAATTTTCAATAATGATGAAGGAATTTCAATTATTAGAAGAATTTATTTTTTTACCATTTATTCTGATCCCCTTCAAGGACTCTTTTATTATTATTTAAAGGATTATACGTCCAAAAAATCAAAGCTTATTTATAAGATACTTTGAATGTAATTTTTTGAACAATACAACTTTCACGTGAAAGCTTCCAAAGCCTCCGTCTTTGGAATTAAATAAAAAAGAGATTAAAGGAAAGTTTGTGTGGAGTTGAGATATTATTGATAACAAAAGCTTTTATCCCAAATTAATATCTTGCACTCAAACAACCGTTGTTGAAAATACAAGTACACTTCAGCCGAGTGCGGTACAACTGTAGCCAAAACAACGACTTCAACCACTTCCATTATTAAATTCGTGTATCAAATGAATTTTAGTAAAATTTTCGGGAAAATACATCATGGCTAATTTAAAGATTTAAACTAATCATTATCAACTAACTTTTTATCAAATTTTCAAGTAACTGATTACTAAGAAATTTGAAATAATAAACTTTTAATATCTCTCGTTAAAATATATTAAGAATTACGCCTAATTGCAGCTAACTTATTGAAATACATATAATCTTCATTTGGGATTGTATAGTCCCAAGAAAAACATCTACTTAATAAAAATTTAAATATTTCTGTCTTTTCGAAGAGACACGAAGCCAGGCAGTTTTGTGTTTATCGAAAACAGAAAAGAAAGCATATAAAATGAAGAAGAATTGCTGGCGTATGTAGGTGAGCAGGAAAAGAAGAAGAAATAAATAAAAGAAGTGAAGGAACAGAAATTTTTTCTTGTCTTGAGAACAACGGCCTGTTTTTCTTTTTTTTACTTCCTAAGAAGATTGCTATAGAATTATTTTTAAACATGGATTCATGATACAATAATTGGGAAATTTATTCAGAACGATTTGGATCATTAACACTGAAATAACCAAGCTCTAATTATTTAAAAAAAATATGAATTGTAAAAAACTTTTTAATTACAGTAATTATTCATTTTTACATCTTTTATTTTTTAAATTTGATTTTAATTTTAGTGTTGGTTGTTCTAGCGTTAATTATCAATTAAAGAAAAAACACACTTGTACCCTTTTACACGATTTAGACACACACTGAGATATTAACCCTCGGACGGCGGATCCAGTTTTTGCTATTCAAGGGTTAAATAAAAATTTATACAAATTAAAAATTAAATTAGCATTTTAAAGATGTATATCTATAAGTACATAATGATTCATTTTTTGAATTCAAGTTTCATTTTAATTTCGGTAATTAATTAATTAATTAATTAATGATATAGAACAGTGCACTCATTTGTATGATTAAATTTAAAAACGAATAAAAATGTATAAAAATGTGTCTTGTAATTAAACGTTTGATGGTTTATTGAGGCCCAGTAATTAAGAAATGGTTCGAAAAATGTAAGCCATTTCTAATGAAGATTTACAATGACCCAGTAACAAATTGTAACACGCGTTAGTCATCAGGTTTTGATCATTTAAACAGGATGTAATGTGGGTCGATCTTGGTCGGTAAAGAAACGCTTAAACAGCATTGTCCTCGATTCTCAAATGAAAAGTGTGATGGCGGAAGTTAGATGAAAGCGTAGGAAACGGTCTGCGACAAGTGGCGCCGGTTTCCTGGGCTTTTTTGAATATAATTGAAGCCCTACAGATGCGCTTTTAATATCGCACACGAGGACAAAGGCCAGGATAATTAAAGTACTCGCCGCGGTGGGAGGTAGCCCCGGGCTTGAAAGGAGATCCACCAAGGAATATAGTCGTAGGAAGAGTGTCGTAATGACCGGAGATAGAAAAAAAAAAAGTACGAATTGAATGGAAAACCGTGAAAACGACCGTCAACTTCCTTAATGACTCATCTTGAATAGATGAACACGTGTTAAAACACCTATTACGTTTCCGCACATTTTTAATAATTTTTTTCTGAGAAAGCTACGACGTATATTGAAAATCTGTTACAGTCATTTTCTTGTATATTTCTTAAACTATGGGGGAATATTTTTAGATTTTCTATACTATCCAAAATGGCGGAGCTACAGCGGCCTCACTGTGATGCCTTTGAAAGAGAACACCTAAACAGAGTCTTTTAGCAAAGTCGGCACAGTTTTTCTAGAAAAAATTATGAAAAATTGCTCTGAATTTTTCCGATTAATTGAATCTTACGATTAGTGTAAAGCATTTTCTAAGAAATAATAATAATTTCTTTTTTCAATAAAAATTGTTTCCAATTTTCAAACAGAGCTAGAAATGGAGGTTGAAAGGCGAAAAGATATACACGAAGTGATATTTCACGTGGTGGTAAGACGGGCACAGAGAAAATACTATCTTCTAACACGGACAGAGTGAAATGAGAAAATGTAAAAGCATCTCACGAATGTAACGAGAGAAACGAGTTGTAAGCCTGCTGTGACAACACTGTCTGCGAATTAGTGTGACGCGTTGTTTCTCTCGTCGACCTTTCTTCGCAACGACAAATTCGAAATTTTTATCATTTCCCATAAAAGTATTCGAAGACACAGAAGGTAAGAGAAGAGCAAATACATTTAACGTCACTTTACCCGATACGTTCTCAAGCTAAGTACGATAATTAAGTGAACGTATCCGACAGCATGGCACCTTTCGAACTTCTCTGACAACCTTGTACCATGACATTGTCAATTAACGAGCACTTTACTTGTGGAGAGATGATGATTTCGTATGATATTACGTCGATTTTCGTGGATCAAATTCAAGATGGCGAAGGTCTATAAGCAGTTAAAGAAGTTGGACTACTCTGAGAATCAAACTCATCTTTGATTATTATTTTTCTTCTCTTAAACCACGAAGTCAATCGAAATTCGTTCAATTATAATTTCTGACAAATAACATTTCATCAGAATATCAACTATTGTTTCCAACTATTGTTCAGAAATCATCCTCTTAAGGACCCTTTGGACATTTTCAGGGCAAAAAGGTAAAACGCCATTTGCTGTCGAAAGCTAGAAGGGCAAAAAGATAGGAAAACATGATCGTTCGACAAAGTTTGGACATCGGTGTATCGGTGGAAACTGTCGAGAAGCTTCAGCTTGTTATTGCATTGAAAACTTTGACCGGAAACGCGGTGTTCCGTTGAATTTCAACGTCCTTTGCTGCCTTTACTTTTTTACGTTTTTTTCTCTACCCGTCCATTTAGATTGGCACAGCTTTTATCGGAGGATCGAAGTAAATTAAAATGCCCCAATCGTCGGGTTCGTTCGTTGTCAGACTCCGTCTTTGTTCCGGCGGAGGGTGTTCCGCTTCCGATTCCGTTCTGTCAAAGAAATCGGCGTTTTCTTCGCCGGGGATGACACTCGCGATATTGGATCGTCCAGGGAAATTAATTGAAAGGGAATCGTGTTTGATCACTGATCAAAAAAAAAACCGGGTAGGTAAGAAGAATTTATTTATCAATGTTACTTTTCATCAAATTTTTCTTCTTCTAAATCATCAAGTAAATCAAAAAATCTATTACCTACAGTTTATTGTATATTTATAATCGATTTTTTGTACCTACTCGGCAAAATGGTGGGGATAAATTAATTCCTGAAGTGCAATAGTTAATTATTCACGGTACAGTAATATTTACAGAAAGTTAAAACAAAAAAAATAATAAAAGGTGACAACATTCGACCAAGTGTACGAACCCGCCCTAGTTATAGAGGATTTCCGGTATGTACGTACACAGATTGGTATCGAACTATCGCGAGAACTTATTCAATTAAGTCTTGACGAGTTCACATGGAAGTTTTCGAACTATAGACAACGGAAGGTCGTTTTAAATTGAGGAGAGGGAATCCTCGTTGTATTGCAATTCAACTGAATTTCAAATTTCGTTATTAAACATTGAAAAAAGAGATCTGTGTAGTAATTTTTATGTTTAATTTAAAATGTAAATTGTGTGATAAATTAATAGTGTCTTAATGTAAATGTTTGTATAATCTACATAAATATTTATCTTAAAATACAACAAACCTCTAACCATCATAATTCTCATTTCAATGAAAACGAAAGAAACACGGAGTGCACTGTTCCATCTAAAATTACCAAAAAGAAAAGAAAAAGAAATAACAATTATATCAAACACTAACAAAGTATCTCCATCGCTAAACCTTTCAAACTGAAAGATGCAACAAAGCCAAACGTGAAAATCATTGTCTCAAGCAAGAAAGCAACAAAAACGTCATCGAGCATTAGAAGAAAGAAGAGGAAAGAAAATAGAAAAGGGAAACATATTTCATCCACACTGGCACACGTCTATTTGCAGAAAGTCAATGTACCTAAGAGAGGTATAGCGTCGGAGACCTGAGGCAGAGTCTCGGCGACAAGGTTCAGGAACACCGTCAGCGATAACAAGATGGTCACTCCTGAAACAGTCGTAGAGCCCTGCTTTTTCATCATCCATATCATCATCGTTTTACAAACCTAACCAAAATCTCACTCTGTCCCACTCGTCCCACTTATGGATACCCCTCCTCTGCCTGTAGATGCCTATAGACACATATTTTGCCCTGTGTATTGCGCGCACGTCTGTCCAGTGCTGTAGACGTCCATGGACACCAAAATTCTGTCCTATGGACGCCCATGGACGCCTGCAAAACTAATTCTGCATCTATCATATACGCTTAAAGACGTAAGCTCTTTGCTATGGACGCCTACAGACGCTAGTCCTGCGCCATGGACAGCAGGATTTTGCAAAATTTCAAGCTGAAATGGAACAGGACAGTAGACTCTCTGTCTGACAGCGGTGAGAAATTACTTTGTCCCTAAGCCCAAATACTTGAAAAACAAAGAAGGGTGACCCTCGGTGGCCCTCGAATAAGTTTCTCGACCATATATGTACATATGTACCTCTATGTCCTCCATGAAACAAGCAGATAACTTTCCTGCGAATGGGTAACCGTTCTGATATCTTTCCTTGAAGAATGGCGCCTTGTAATACTCTCATCGCGGTTGAAATTTTCACGGTAATGACTGTGAAATTTAATCCTTTCAATTTTATGCTCGAATTCTCGACGATCTTGTAATTACGGTTCAAATGCATCGGGGACGTCTACTGGAATGTAGGTAATTCGCGTTACTTTGTAAAGAGTGCCATTGATCGAATTATTATAACCCTTCGATTTTCATCGTTATCACGCTCTGTGGTTGCAAAGAAATTTGAAATACTGCCGTTTAAGAAATAATGGTATGAATTGTTGAAAGTTATTTTCTTCTCAACTTTTTAAAAATAATTTAACAATTCTGTATCTCTTATAGTAAGAGCATATGTTGGAAGGTATTATTATAGAAAAAAAGGGAAGAGAATTAATAAAGCTTCAGGCAATGCACAACAAATTCAAAAAGAGAGAAAGAAAAGGGAAAAGGTTTTTTATTCGATTCGATTCGATACTTCGGAGCTGTTAATTGCTCCAGTTTAGCTCTCACAAATTTTCTCGCTGCTCCATTAAACTTTTACACCAGGAACTTGGAGATAAAATAGTAATTACTCATGGAGAATTTGGAACCTTTTACAGTCATGGAGCGGGATCATATAGCGTGAAAAATATGTGACTAAATTTAATATAACAATAGAATAAAGCGGAAAAAAATATTTCAAATATTTCCATTGAAGATTTTTAATTGAAATTGAAGAAAATGACGACCGTCAGGCAGGAATTATTGACCTATACTACTGATCAACCTTTGTAATCTAAATATTCTTAAGAAAATGTTCTTAAGGCTTTTAAGCAATGTATTATTTTTATGATAAATTAAATTATTTTATTGATGCGAAGGTCGCTTTATCTTGATGCAAGCGTTCAACTCAACATTCCTTAACAAACAAAAGAGTGCTCAATATGCTGACAAGCGAGAAAATTAATTAGTTTCTCGACGTGCTCGATGCAATTTCACAAATGAACCTTTGGAAAATTATTCCGGAAATGAATTTTCAATATCACCCTTTCAGTTTTTACTGATTAACGTCTATACACCCCTAGAAACCATAAAATTATTGTCTTTCGCTATCCATGGTCCATTTTTTTGTTCATCCCATCTGACATTTGATTTATTTGATTTATTTGATTTATTTCCATTCGAACGATTCGTGTTGCTGTGAAACTGGCGAAGTAATGGCATTTGATTGTCGAATATAATGGAAATCAAAGAGACCATTGAACATGGGAGGGGATCATATTATGCGTAACACCGTTCCTGTTCTATCGAACTGGGCTATTTTCGACCATAATGGGAACGTGTAACGTAACCAGATTGCAAAAGGACCGGTCGGAGAATTAGCAAATCGCTTGATTTTCACGGCTGAAATTGTATGCTAGCTGGATTTTCTTTTGTAACCGAGTGAAATCGATGGTTTCTAGTGTTGCTGGACCGAAGGTAATGGGCATGGGCAAATGGGTCGATGGAAAATGTTCAATTATTGCGGTGATCGGTGAGCGGTCGAGGTTGGAAGGAAATTGGATAATGTTGAAGCTGATTTAAGATAAGGATAAAGGGACCACTGACAGTATGATGAAATTTATTTCATAAATTGTTTAGTACTATATAAAAATTTAGTATCGGTTCATAGTGTAGTTAATACTTTCATTCAAGGAAACAGGAATTGTAAACAATTTCAAGCCTAAATCTATTCTTTGGGGCGTCAATTATTGACCTATACTACTAATATTTACATAAAACTTTGAAAAAACCATGAAAATGTATAAAAATTTACTTCCCTCATTATATAAGTTTATAGTTCATCGTGTTACTATTTAGAATTAATGTAACAAAATGTTTCAGTTCCAATTCACTGTCCTTGCCTGTTAATTATTGACCTACACTACTGATATTTATATAAGAACCAAAAACGACTAAGAAACTTTCTAAAAATGAATTCCTTCAACATCTCAGTTTACAATTTATCATATTACTGTTGAAAATTATTGAGAGCATAGATTTCAAACCCAGCTTACTTCTGTTGGGTATTAATCGTTGACCTATACTACTGAAATTCCCATAAAACGTAAAAACCACTGGAGAAACTTCTAAAACTCAACCTCTACTATATGGCCTTATAACTTATCGTTTTACCCCTGTTTCATTGAAAATCCATGGAAGTTGTCTTCTCTACCAAAGCTAAATTATTGACCTAGACTACTGTAAAGTGCAGGTTAAGTCTTAAAACGATCGAAAACTTTCCAAATTGATTGCTCTTCGTCTCAAACTGAACATTCATCACCTCAAACAATCAGAAACCTAATTACCCATCAAATAAACAATTCCTTTCGAGGCAGCGTCTACTAAAGTTCACTTAAAGATTCCCATTAAATCTCTAAAACTCTCTGCCGTCCATTGGCAAAAGGACACTCGAACAAATTACCGACGGCTTTTAATTGCCCACGGATCCGATGTTCATTAAACAGCTGCCGCGATGGATCAGAGTAATGCAACCCTTGATCGAAGTCACGAAAAGCTTCAAGTTTCACCGATCGCTCGTTACCAACTAATTTGCCCCCGGACAGACCACGTGTCCCGCTAATTGCCCGGCAAAGAAAGTTTCTCAGCCACTACAGTTGCTTCGGGTTGATTGAGAACTGTTTTGGGAAGTGTGGCCACATCGTGGTTATTGGTTTCCCTGGAGAATTGATGGGACCGGAAAATAAATAAAGAAGTAAGCGCTGATCGGTTTGAAACTTACGTGAAATTTTTCACCCCAAAACGATTGTCTTTTTCTTTTTCCTTTTTTTTCTTTTTTAATTTTAGATAGAGGTCTATTAATTAGCCTAAGTGACCAAGAGAGTCTAATTCGACCTAGGCAGCCTAACTTAAGAGAATCCAACAGGAAGTATATCTATCCTTCTTTCATAAAGCTACTATGATAGGTTCTTTTAGAACTGAAGGATAATTTAATTAGTAGCCAAGGATTTCATTATGAATTGATTTCTTCTTCCATCGCTGTTTTTTTCCCTGTTACTTGTCTTTAGAATCGTCTTTGAGGTGCTATTAGTCGAAGGTACACCATTCTGAACCTAAATAATTAAAGCCATCTTTCATGATTTTTTTTTTTTCTTTCTTAAACGATAAACTAAACTGAAAATCTGTTATATACATTTTTTTGTTCATATCTTAAGTTGTACGATAATATTTTTAGAGTTTCTATACTCTGCGAAATGGTAGAGTTACGGCTGTCTCATCGTAACTCAGTTAAACCGGTTTCGTTAAAACTAGCCATCTTGAAGAAGCTGTATCTTCGTTATCTTGTTAGATAAAAAAAGAGTTCCAAAGTATTTTTATATTCCTTATAAAGATACTTTAAAATGTATATAATAAATTTCTCATTTACCTCATGATTTCTTTAGAAAAAAATAATCACAAATGACTTTGATTTTTCAGGTTCAATACACCCGGAAGATCGTTCAGACAAGTATTATACTGTGTCAGTTAAAACTTAAGAAAATGGTGAATTGTTTAATTTAAACAATGTTTGATCGTGTTATAGCATAAGTAACGCGTATTAAAGCATGAAATTGAACTTACTGTTTGCACGAGTTTCCCGATAAACTGATGGACTATCCCTTGCTAAACCCCCAAGGGTAAAACGGTAGACTATGGGGTTAACTATGGGACCTTTCAACAGGCAATTAACACAGCAATATACCTACGAGTTTCGCTGCTACCAGTAATAATTCTCTAAAGTATCACACCGGAATATGGGGATAATTGAGTTAATTAATGTATTTTTTCTAACACATGGGACTGTCACAGGACAGTATTATAAATAATTAATACAATACATAAAAAATGGGATGACAAAGTAACCGTGCACTTTTTTATGGGGGTGAAGAAGATTTACAGCTGCCCAAGAAACTTTCAATACAAAGTGGAAGTATCAGCGATATTTAATCACAACATAGTTGTTCCATGGTAATTTCATAGTAATTCCATTTGTATAGACTCGGTTTCATGGGCAATTAAGAAATTCACTATTTATCTTGAGATAATATTTTTCAACGGGGTAATTATCTAAACATTAATGTCACACAAGGCTGAGGGGTCTAAAAAGGGATGTTCAAAGAAAAATAATCACTTTTGAAATAAATTTAAAAAATAAAAAATTAAAATTAAAAGAAAGTTATACAACCAAGAGTTAATTCAAATTATTAAAATTTTATTTCAATAATTTCCTGCTTATTTTTCATTACTTTTCGTTCTGAATTCATAAAATAAATATTTTTAATAATAGGTTTAAATGTTTGTTTGACTTTATTTTTTAATTTTTTAAGTTTTATTTGAAAGTAATGAAAATTCTTATTGTTTTCCACGAAAATTTCACCGAACGATTCGAGAGCGTTCCTCTCGATCGGTAGTTGCTTATTATGCGGTGCGAACACGATAACTGGGCTTAATTAAAGCGAGAGTATGCGTCGTTAATTAATGCAAGAATTGCTCGCATTACTGCTGCCCGTTCAAGTTGCATTCCAATTGTTTGCTGAAAGATTTTTGGTATTTCAATTGTCTCTTGAAAACGATGGAAAATTAACGATAATAATTCATAATTTCCAGTATAATTCTGAATCAAATTTCTAAAATAGAACATTATTATTATTTTGTAAATCTTGCAATTTTCATACGTGAAAGTGGTTCATAATTCGTTTCCTGATTAAATAGAATTTTTCATTCGATTACAGCCGGAAATCAGGAGGAGGAGTTTGTCGACCCGAAAGTGGCGGACAGCAACTCGACCAAACCACTCGGACGAAAATTAAATTTCTTTTCGCGGTTAGCGTGGAAACCTATTTCCCCTCATGGAAAATATGAAAATTCTTAACCGATAAACCGTATTTAACACCAGCACGGTTAATTTGAAAATTGCTTGTTAAATCAAGCTAAAATATCAGAGCCATTTTTCATTCATCTTGTATTTTCAAAATATAAAAGAATAATTTTCAAAAATTTGAAAATATCAGAACGAAAAGTGATCAGATAAACAGGGTGTGTTAAAATGGTTTTTGGATTCAGAAAAGCCATGAAATTGTTATTTTTTATCATGGCGTCCCATATTCTTGAAACCATAAATTAAAATAGAAAAAATTTGTTGCCAAGTCTGAACGATCTTCAAGATTTTATTAATCCATCTTCGTGTAATTTTCATGAAAGATGGTTATCTCAAGGTGAATGCGTAACGACAGGCACAAAACATCATGGACGTGTATACACATATGTATTTACAGGACACGAAACAAAGAGACTATGACACACATTTTGCCAGGGTTGAAATACGTTAATTATCATGGGGATAATTAATAGGTACCTATTAAGGGAACTGCGTCCGAGGTCGTCGGCATGCTTTCTGCCACGAGGTTCAGGAATACTGTCAGCGACAGCAGAATCGTCACTCCTGTGATATTTTGAGAAGATTTTTTAAAATATCACTCAACAATACTTGTTCATTTTTTACGTACATAGGCATGTATGTGGCAGTCAATGCTAGAAGATATTTAATTAACGATAAGAATAACTATTGGAAGATTTAATATTTTTTTAATTGAAATTGCAAATGTTTTAAATTAATTAAATATTTTAAAATTATTTGAATATTAAAGTTTCCAATCAATTCGATATAGGGACCCAGCCTCCTGATTTTATTATCTGAATAGGGTATTGTATTAATTTGTAATTTTTAATACCTTTTTTATTTTGTATAATTGAACAAATTTTTTTTTTCAGCAATAATATAAGAGTCATCAAAATGAATTATTTCAGGACGAACATCTTTAAACTAAATTCGTTTCACTAAACCCTTGCTTTTCTCCTGAATTTCGATGAAAATCCCTTTTCTCTGAAATTTCTGGGTAATACTGTCGTTCGGTTGGTTAGATCTTATCCTGTTGAAGGGTCTTCTAAAGTTTCACGATGAAATCCTACCAAGTTTTGGGAAGAATTTAAACTGTCTAGCAGAGTTCGATGAACGATTTCAAAGTTCAATTGTTTTTGAAAACAAGGATTGCAGAATAAATTAGCCTGTGAGAATTGATACGAGGTACTACCACAACCCTTGTGAATTTTGAAGAAATAGAATGTCGTCAATTAAAAAATTATACCTTCTCAAACAAATTTTGTTGCTGAAATTAATATCTTCGGATGCTTCTAATAGAGTCTTATTAGAATTCTAAAAATTATTAAAACTACATGATTGATTACATAAAATACGAAAAATATAAAGCAGACCTCTAATTAAAATTTGCTTTGTAAATCTTGAAAATGAAGTAAAGTGGTTTCAACAAACCGTTATTACTATTAATTTCACGCTGCTTTATGATTTCCCTTTGCGTTATAACGCAGAGTATATCGGTGAACCAAAGATTCCGTAATTTCCGGTTGCAAGCCTACACGATTTCGTGACCATAATCGCACGCGTCAACGAGTATTTCAAGCCGCGTAACTCGTTGCGAAGCCATGCTGCAAACACAGAGTCAGCTCACTCGTTAATAACTTTACGCGATGCGGTTAACGTGTCTGGAATTGCATTATTACATAATAACCGACGTCATTTACGATCCAGCCCTCCATAATTTCTGTTCAGTCAAGCCGAATTTTCCATTAATTTCAATTTCTCTTCCCCCTTACTCCTTACTCAACCTCGAATATTTATACATGTCATTATTCATTAATTATAAAGATTGGCTGATCATATGTATTTCAATCGTTTATAGGAAACCTAATATTAAATTGTTACACGTCACATGGAAAGTGAAAAAAAAAAAAAAAATGGCACTTATGGTATATCAATTTGAAGCATACAGTCTCAGGAAAGTGACGGTAATAAATATTCTAAATACAGAGTGGCTGGTTCTACGTTGAAACAACGCATTAAATAAACTTTAAGGTTTAAGCTTTAATTTAATCTGCCATAAGTGTTATTTTGTTTGCGAGACTTTTCTGTCATCAAATCGCGTCCATTATCAAAGAACTCACGCGACGGAAGATACCAAAGATTAGTTTATCGTTGTCCACGTTCAAACAAATATTGCTGTTATCGTGCAAGCACACGTACACCGTTATACCAAGTTAATTTGCATAATTTCCATAACGTGGAACTTAGAAAGCGGATTAACACGTTTCTGGTTATGGTATTTTGAACGCAAGGATGTTTCGTACTGTTACAGTTACTTAAGTTTTCAGCGTGTTTAATGCAACCATCAAGATTTCACGAATTTTAGCTTGTTTATACAGCTACCATTGTTAAGAGTTAAACAGAAAAATTTCGATCGTGTTTCTTTGCAAAGAGATTTTAATTCCTTCAGAAGCTGTAACCGACAAGGCTCGGATAAGAGTTCGAGGTGAAATTTCGACGAACCGCGACAAGGTGGATCCGTTGCAGGTGGCAAACCGCCAATAACATCCGGGCTTGTTGGGTCTGTGGATGGAAAATGGGGTCGAGGAAAGCCGGCAATTAGTTCCTTACAATTAGCTTCGAACGCTTGTATTTCGCTTAGTTACATTGCTATTTAATCACGCACGTAACTGACACTGTGTATTCAATTATAATATTACATCAATTTTGGATTTGTTCAGAAGTCATAAGACGAATTAAATTAAATTAAAATTATCGAAATCGGTCACACACAATTCTTTTTGATTTAATTTCCCATCAACCATTTTGTAGGAGACTCGTCGTCCGTCAGTGGGGCTAACAACAGACCGCAATTCGAAACTTCTATACTCGTATGTACGATATATTCGAACACCGATCGTCGAAACCCTAACAATTTTATATTCAATATATCAATGAATTCGTTAATCAACACTCGAATAAATACCTTTTCACCCTGAATACCCAATTCAAATCCTATTCAAATTTAGCTTAAATCCATCGCTAACTTGAAACTCTCTGAAACTTTCATTCCTATCACAGTACCAAAATCCTCGATTGCATTCTGACAAATCATAGACGAATCTTAGAACACGTTGTAGGTCTAACAAGGAGAATCGGTCTATGAAAATGATGCCCCAGCCTTTATCCAACAGAACGTTCACTTGGCTCATGTGTATTCACAAGCACAGGCACAGGCACAGGCACAGGCACAGGCACAGACACGAGCGAACCTTTTGTCATGGTAATTCTCAATCAAATACACTTTCCGTGAAGAGGGTCGGTGTCGCTTTTGCTAGCCTTAACATGCTAGGTCTGCACACCCTCCGTATTTATCCGGTTAATGAAATTCGCGATGTGCCGAAACCAGCCGGAATTTACAACGGCATAATATTATGGAAATTTCATTCATGGATGTTGCAATAACGCCTCCGCTAAAGAGCTGCACTTTTTGCTCCATAATGATAAACTGTTGGCCATCATGGATAAGATTGGTTAATAAATTGTCGCTCATCGTCATTATGGTATTATTTTTCATTATTTATGTTTGAAATGAGAATGGCGATGGGTCGTGCATCATCCGAAGTCTATTCACACTCGACAAGCATAATAATTACAATTTATCCTGACGAACGGAAGTAAATTCCCGTAGGAAATCTGGATAAGAAAGATCTCTATTGTTGTCACTTTACATTGTATCTGTTCCAAAGGCAAAAGCTGAAGAGAACTCGAGTCACTCCGGGAAACTTTGAGGAAATCTGACAGTTTTGGTAGCTGTTCTACTAGACTGAGAATAAACCGACTTCTGAGCTTCCATCTTGGAGCTTAAAATTGAGGATACGAATGGTGGTAGAAAGGAATTAACATTATTATCCCTCAAATTATAAGAAAATATTCTCGTGCAATAAATTTTCCGCTGACTCTATGTGATCTCCTGAAAAAAATTATGAAAACCAACTGATTGAGAAATAAAGAAGAGCCGTAAGGCTGTAAATCCTTATAAGTCGGCAAATTTCTTCACGTATCACCAAGCAATCGACTTCCGTGTTAGAAAATGGCGGAAAATTCGTTTCTTCCTCGAAGGTATCTCGTGGAGGATTTCCGTGGACTTTGATTGTACGGTAGCGGAAATTGGGACGGTATGCTTCGATATAATCGCGAACAATCAAGGGCATAGCTCAAGGCGTGCTCACCGGAAAAGAAGTGGTTCGAAAGCTCGATGGTTCGTTGCTTGAATTCCTAATAAGCTTCCAGTTTGAATTGAATCTCGAAACACGAAACTTTTCCTCAATTTCTTTACAGGAATTTATAGTTTCTATCTTTTGCCAATCTCGAATTGTTGTAAAAAATGTTCCACTTAGAAAAATAAACAATTTTTCTGAGAAATATTCGGAATTCAAAAATAAACGAAAAAAAAAGAAAAAAAAAAAAAAGTCAAAATCAGGAGTTGTAAATAGGATTCCTTTATCTCCTTGAAATTGCACGTGACGAGGATAATTTTTAAGAAATCCTTCTTGTGATTCGACGACAGCAGTTCTGACATACATAGCCCGACAAACGAGCCGCAATTATGTTTTAATTGCGCTGTTCCATCCATTTCCCGCTCTTCGTACCTTGTTCTTCGCCAACAAACACATACACACGAATATGCTCATCCTGAAAAGGATTTGATTATGCAACGTTTCTGGATCATTTTCCGCGCACTACAGAGGGTGATTCAAAAAAGTCTATCTCCATACATAAATGAAGAATTGTTACGTATCAATGACTGACTGAAAATAGTTATATAAGAGCACTATCGATATTTTAAATACAAAATGGCTGACAAGTGATTATAGCAAACCATAAGTCAAATTGAAATTTATTTATGGTACAATAACTTAAAGTTTATGATTCTTTGTAAGCGGAGGTGTTGAAAAGTAGCAAAAGTTTCATTTGCTTTGCAACTCAACAATCAAAGCATTTAATTTTCAACGATATCGAAGGAAATTTCCCAGGTGCCCGTAATTCGTCGAATTTCCCAAACGTATTCATAATATCAAGTTATTCGGAATATTGTACCGGTGTGCAGCTGTTCTTACTTAATAGCTGAGCCAATGGCCGACACGAAGGAAGAGAGAGTATAATATCATAGAAATTCCATTCCAGCAGAGTTTCATCATCGTCCATAGCCTCAGGTATATCCAGTTCAGAAATAAGATTCTCTTTAGAAATTCCGATTATTCGCCATACCTTCGGAATCATAGTTATCTCAAATTTCACCTAACTGTATATCAATCAGCCTGATTTTCAAACGTGAAAAGACCGAAAGAAATTCATGACATAAAAATTTTACAAAACGACACTTATGATACATCAAATTAAAGCTTAAACCTTAACGAATCGCGCTCAGAGTTTTCTAACATATCAAATTAGTGTACTTACTTAGGATGCCGGCGGAAAAATGATGGCGTTTCGTCTCGGGAACCGTCCACTAGAACTCTGACCTGACGTGGGGCTGACGTGGACGGTCCCTGTCCCAGACGTCTGGCTTCTATATTCTCAGATCTTGTACATATATAATATGTATGCCCATTTGCGAGAAAGGATGGAGTTACACTGTAGTATACTTTAATGACACATTAATCATTTTCTGATGTTTCTCATGAATCTTTAAGCTTTAAATTGATGTATCATACATGATATTTCTAATGTCAACACTGTGATCAATCTGTACCGAGTGAAAATCCCGTTGACCACCGATAGATAGACCGACGTGTCCATCCCCAAAGGAGATCGTTGACCATAGACGGTGTATTTTCACGGTGTTTTCCCGGCTGGACGGTGTTCGGAAAATTATATACCCGTCCCATACTCATGGGACGGCTGGGATGCAGGCCACGTTCCTATTTGTATGTATACAACGGAGCCTGTATGTGCATAGCGGACAATTGTGTCCGCACTGGGAACAAGCTTTCGAATCCCTGCCAGCATCGATTCCGACCCTGTCTGTCATTGCCAATGGAAATTGAATTTCCATTGCGAACTTGTTTCTCAGAAAACTAGGCTCGTCTGTGTTTGCAGCATCGTTTTCATAACTTGCACAAAATCATCGGGTAAGGAAAGATAAATACAAACGCGGTTCAACGATAAACCCGATGGGAAATGGGAAAGTTTCTTCTATGAAGAGGACAGCTTCGTGTAATTACCCTTTAACCTGACCTACGAAGACTAACATGCACCTTGGAGTTTCCGGAACTAGCGGAGGGTTTCACGTTTCAAGGACTCCTTACTTATGGAGCCGAGTTTTGCACGCGATACCATCATGGTTCGAAGAGTTTTCAAGTTCCTGACACGTTTGCCACTCCAACCACCAAAGTTTTAGACCGATAGACTTTCCACAATTTTCAACCAGCAAAAAGTAGGATATTTTTATTACATTCAACTCTGCTTTATATCTTTCGTTATTTAAGCTCTTACACCACATCGTCCTGGCAAATTAGCCTTTTCTTTTATAAACCATAAGATCAATCGAAAACCTGTTATATGTATACATTTTTTTATACATATCTTAAGCTACATTTAAGTATTTTTGGATTTTTCATAACTATCAAAATGACGGAGTTACAATCACTTTCTGTAGAAGTGGTTCCCTTGAGGCAGCTGTATCTCCGCCATTTTTCCAAGTATAAAGAATCCAAAAGTATCCTTAGATAGCGTAAGAAACGTACAATAAAATGCATTCTATTTCAAATTTTTTAATCACTTTTTCTCAAAAAATTTCAAAGTGGTACAATCTCATTCTCCTGGAAAAGGGTGACATTTCCTGTTTCACGGTTCTGGCAACGCATCGCGTCGTTCTGAAATAATTAATCGGTTGTCCACGGGCTGACAGCCGCAGAAGCCAGACTACCATCCCGTAAGACGTATACGCGCCGATCGTTCTCGGCCTCATGAAGCATATATCGACCCCGACGAACTTCACCGCCGACCTAATGCATTATGCACATCGTGCACATCGTGCACATCGTGCACCGTTGCTCTGTACAGATTTTAGCCGCGTTGTAATCCGTGTGATGCATCCATCCTATCCAAAATTGAAATCATGCGACGCTCGAGGCTTTCCTGGATACATGGTCACCTCGCATCTGACTGTCGGAAAGAATACCAAATAGACTCGTGAATTCTTTTTATTTTTACGCAAAATTTAGTACGACCTAAAATCCTCCTATCGCTGTTTTTCTTCCGAAAGCTAATTAATTAATTAATTAATTAATTAATTAATTAAGAGAAGGAGAAATCGGAGGGAAGTCAATATCTGCATTAGACTCTTCCGGGAGATTAATGAAACGAAGCAGATGTTGGAAGAACAAAAAGTTCGAAATTAAAAAATCCCAGGGCTAGTTCTACTCTGTCCAACTATTTCACATGATCGATAGAAATCGAAAACGTCGTCCGAGGTATCGTCCTGTCTTTTGTGATCGATTAAGAATCAATCGGTATCATTGACAAAAGTATCATTCATCAGTTTTATACAATTTCAATTTCATGATATAAAAGTACTTACATATGTATTACAAAATATCACTTATGGCACATCAATTTAAAGGTTAAACTTTGTCGAAAATGATTATACGAACACTTTATTAATATCATCATTATTTCGGGAGATATGAGCCATTGAAAATTGAGTATTAGTTAGTGAATAATATTAGTTTCACGAAACGTCAGCCATTTTCTGTTAAGGATATTAATAAAGCGTTTAACTGGCACATTTTAGTAGGAATTAAGCTTTAATTTCGTTCAACTTTTATGCGATGAAATCATCTCGGAATGTCTACATTTCTAAATCTGTCATTTCTCAATTACCTTCTGTAAATTGTAAACTCTTATCAGTGAATTCGATCATCTTGTCGTTGAGACATTTGTCAATGACATCGATCGTACTGGAATCTAAACAAAAAACTGGAGTCGATCACGTTCCTATCAATCGTCGTCGAAACGAAATGAAACGCGCGTGACAGTCATATACCTACATATGTAGGTATTATGTGTCATAGAAACGCAATCAGACTGAAATCAATCAAATAGAATTCGCAATACTCTCGGTGTATGTGTATGTACATACATACATACATACATACATACATACATAATGTAGAAAAAGAGATAGACAGAGAGGAAGAGATAGATAGAGAGATAAATAGATAAGATACATGTCGTGTACACAAGTCGACAGAACTAACGGAAGAAGATAGAAAACGAAAAGAAGAGGTGTGTATGGCTGGTGTGATACGCAGGCAAGGCATGCTATGAGTTACGTTACCTAAGGTGAGCTTCTCCCCGGAGTCTGGTGGCAATGTGAAACCAAGAAGAGCCATGCTTGATATCAGCACACATGGCACGATCAGGTTGAAAAAATAATACAGGGTCCTCCTACGAATTTGTATGGTGAACGTCACGTCCACGTATGGCTCGGGGCAACATTGATAGGTTATTGTATTCTTCTTCCCTGGCATACCTATAACAAAAGAAAACTAAGAATTTATACTCTACGATTTGGTAGAGATTAATGTTACACTTCTTGGAGGCTCGATACAGATCGATTTTTATTCGCTTTTAATCGGTCCCAGCTGGTTTCTTCTAGTAAGTCTTGATATTCTCGTTCCCTCCCCAATATTTATTAAACTACCAGAGATTCCAAAAAATTACAATATCTAACTTTTTAAATAAAGATTCGAAATAACGCGAGCATTGAAAACTCGAGGTATAACCATAAATCTAACAACCACAAAAATACGAGCGCACTCGTGATTTCCTTTTAACAGCCTTCACGAATAGAATACATCCACCGGAAATCTTACGACCTCGTTTACAGTCGCGTAAAAATTTTAACTCTCCTCGTTGCGTTCTTTCAATTGGTGACCAGGCGGAAGAAAGAAACGAACAAAATGTCTACGTAATTTTGCGACGTTTCATAAAGGAGTTAACATCGCGTATCGCGTCGCGTCGATCGATATGACACAGCTGGTTAGAACGTAGAAATTTAATAAAGAAAGTCAAACTGTTACATTGACACTTCCGTTTAGTAACAAAAGTGATTGCTATAGTCGTAGTAACGGTAAGATTTTTAATTATTAATTATGGGACCAGGTTTATCTGGAGAGCAATAATTTCGAGGGGGAAGTAAGGAAAGCACTTGTTGCTACACCTGTGGGACATTTTTACTCGTCTAAAATTGATATTACGTAATATTTCTATTACGTAACATGGTAGAAAAAAAATTTGTAAATTTCAATTAGTAATAGTCCTAACTAATAGTGGGTCCTAATTAAATAAAAAATTATCCACTGAAAATTTCAGTATTTATTAATCAACACGTTATCAACAATACATGTATAATCTCAACACTTTTCTCGATATTTATATAAAAAAATAAATATTTCTCAGCTTTCCTTATTATTAACACCCAAGATGTTTCCCGGTGAAAATTCTTGATAGTCATAAATGAAGAAGGTATTCAGGTTATAGGGTCGTGTCGCGCTACGTTGCCTAGCCGTGTCAAAGAAACCAAAATTTATTAATGCAATTTCACGCCAGCATATTCGCCAAGATTTCCACTCCTCTCTTCATTATTCATCCGTCGCATTTCGAATTCCTTGCCGCGTGCTTTTCCTATGCCAAGTCGCGCGAGAATGCGGGAAAGAGGTATACCACTTGCAACTTTCATAAGCGAGGAAAGGATCATCGACGAAGCTGAAGAGGAGCCGGAAAAATAGCCACGAAGAATCGAAGAAATCGTTCGAAAGACTTAGCTCGTAAAAGGGAAACACGGTGAGACTCTTCAGGGCCCTCTTCTTGGTCGTGGGATAACAGAAATGTTGCTTCCTTAACGATTTCCATCGACGCGACGTGCCTTTACGTTTCGATGCACCGAACAAAATACGGAGAAAAGAATGCCGATAAGGTGAAACGGACATTATTGGAAGAGCAATATTGAATTTTTGAAGGACAGACACTCGAGTATTTCTGACTTTACAATGAATAACTTTCATTCAAAGGCAATATTTTTGCGGAATTCATATATTTTCCAGAAAAAATTATCAAAAGTTACCGATTTTTCAGTAGTGAAACAATCTTCAATCTCTTCGTCTATGAATAAATTAAACTGCTTGAAATAAACTTACCAATAAGGTACCATTCTCCATTCGTAATGAAATCGGACAGATCACCGCCTGTTTCTGAACTCAGCACCAGATCCACCTGTCAAAGTGAAAATTCAATTACAGCAGATATGTTCTTTTATACTGACAATGAGAACAAATACACGTGCATTTGCAGTGCAATCTACCACTAATTTTGCAGTCACGTTCGTGCAAGGGAAAGGATAAAAGGGAACGATGAAGAGTGAAATCGATGGCGATTGAAAGATCGAGTCTTGGTATCGAGAAAAGTAAAAATCCTGAATTTCCAACGAACTCTCTGACGACATTTCAGACATTTTCTTCCTAAAGGAAATCTCATTTTCGAATTTCTTTTGTCTCTGAGGATAAGAGTGAAACACCTCGAGAGATTTCCAATTGATTTTTTTTTTCTCTTCACGTTCAACTTCCCAGTATATTTCATGTGAAATAAACAGAATTTGTTTATAAAATTTCAGAATTTTATTTAAAATTTTCGCTGATTCTTTTATTGCAATTTAAAGAAACAGCAGAGAACGAGGAAACTTCGGTAAGGGTACTTATTCCCTGCTCGAACGGTTTTTAAATGGTTTCCTTTAAGCCCCCCTCGCCACACCCCTCGTATCTGTTGCTCTTTGATCGAGAGCCAAACGAGATGCGGTCTACCGTTTGAACTTTTACGATCACCATTTCCATCCTCGAAGCTCATCGGAATTACTTGGAGAATCTTGATCGTTTAAATCGAACATCCTGTTTACCGTGGTCAGAAAGTTTGTTTGTTTCATCCCTAAACCGCGATAAAGTTTGACCCATTGAAAGAAAGAACATTGGAAAGGTTCCTCAATTTTTGCTAAGAAAATTGAATAAGTCGTTCGACAGATTGAAAGAAATTCGAAAATTCAAATTATTAATTTGAAGACTCAATTCGGTTCCACAAGAAGAGTGCAAGAATAGAAATGTAGAACCATTTCAAAATAGAAAAATAAGTATTTCAAATAACGAACATTTTGAAAGATAATTGATTTGGAGATTAAAATGGATCATCCTATACGAAAATATGTCCATAGCTCAAATATGCACTCTTCTTTTTAAATTCATCGATTTATATACGGTGAACAAGTTAATTCAAAATCGGTGATGAAGAAAGCAATTTTCAAATATACAATAATTTCTCACTAAAAGTGATGACTGAACACAACCCCCATATAATTGGAATAATTCGTAAGCTATTGATCGACCTTTCAGAATAATTATCAAATCCCTGATGAGATTTGTGCAGTGAATTGAGAACCACCGATGAAGGATTAACGTTCTCAGTGATGGGAAACGCGATTAACATTTTTAGCCGGATATCGTCATAAATGACAAAAGTGAAAAACGTATGCCATCGTCATAAGATGAATCTATGAATCTGTGCTATCGTAAAATGGCAAGTTTAATGTGGCAAAATTGTGATGAAGCTCCCGATCCCCGATCCCGAATTGAATGAATGACGACGATATCCGTCTATTTACGCATGGAGCTCTAAACATTGAAAATTAAACACAGTGTCTCGAAAAAGATGTACACCATAAACTTTCACAAAAATCACTTACATATTCCTTAAGGAAAATTTATGTAGAAAATTTAGATTCTTGGTTTTCTACTGTAGGCATTTTGTTGAAAAAAAAAAAAAATATCAAAAGAGAACTAATTTTTCAGGTTCAAAATGTTTTTCATCTCAAAAACAAAATTCCAAGTTACAAAATGATACAAAAATCATCAATAGTTTTCTATTTCGAAAAAATATTTAAATTTAAACTCTGTACATCTTTTGTGAAACAGTCTGTATATAAATAAAAGTGAGATAAGGATGAACTCGTGCACCTAAAAACGCATATTAGGTAATTTACATATTGATCGGAAAATTTACATAAATTATATAATACATGCAACACGTACACACGCATAAACATGTTGTACATTAAATATACTATATTTAGCCGTTCGAATGTTGATTCATTGTGATGTACAAGTGGTTGGTGTGGATAGGTGGCTAAAGGGTTGGTGAAAAGGGCTTCAAATCAGTATTAAAAGGGTTCGTGTGAAACGGTGTTCGAGAACAACTTCCTTCTTGATTTTCTCTACGCTTTGAATGAGCTTTGGTGTCATGTGGGGACACGTATATTATATGCGACACAGTAATCGATGAAATGCGCTCGGACTACATTTTACACCAACTTGTAATGACAGCTGTTTGAAATCTAGTTATTTATGGTAAGTCACTTAAATTAATTAGGCAAATTCTTTTATAAGTTTTGTGAAACAAACACAAAGGAACATCGAATTTGTTAATAAATAAATTTTAATAATTATTGCAATTTTGAAGAAAATAGTTTTTAGTGTTTCACAATTGATTTATATAATTTGAAAGTTAATGTTTTAACATTTCATCAATTTGATCGACAAGAAAAAAAAAAAAAAAACAGCTGTCATTGTGTCTTACTAGAGGCAGAAAGTATTAATTAATTTTTTTCAATTAAGAATATTTACATTTCTCTTTGGAATTAATAATAATAGAGTCCGACCCGCATATAAAAGAAAATCGTCCATTTTACCACATTCTATTACGTTTTTATTTTAATTGCAGAATAAATATTCTCATTAATTAAAACGTACGTTTGAAATAATTAAGCAAAAGACAACCTTCGAACGAACAGAATTATTTCCAACATACAAATTTAATTAATGCCATTAAAAAATGGATGATTTTCCTTGTTATTTTTTTTTACCAACACCTCGCGAAGAAACACTTAAGGACTAAGGATGATAACGATGCTTTAAATGTATCATTATCGAGAGGTGGGTAAATGGTTGAGGTCTTACGCGTGTGCCTTGTGATATTCCTTTTTTCGCTCACCTAATTTTTATTTTCTATTAGAACGTGTCCTGTTTACTTTGTACCGGTAGGCAAGGCACGCAGGTAAGAGCGCAACCGAACGGAATGAATTTGCTTCGCACACACGAGTAAATCGTTAAGCTGCTAACATGTATGTACATAGACTTGTTTTTCGTGTTATTCGGAATTTCTACAGAAATGGAGATCGTTAAGTGGATCGTCGTGGTATTTATAAAGCTTCACTTCTAATCGTAAGTAAAATTAAATCTTGTCATGAAATGGCAACTGAAGTCACCGATATACGCAGCAAGTGGAAATATAAACAGAACAACTGTATGTCTACAATTATTATAATGGCATTTCTATAGGTAGGATTGAAGTGACCCAATGTCGAAAAAGAACCCTAGTATGAAGCTTGTGAAGTGGTTTGTTTTGGAAAGAGAAAAGAATGGGGGTAAAGTATCTGGAGACATCGTTGAAGGGGTTGCACGTGCAACAGGTGAAAGTTAGGTATCGAGTGGTTCGCGTATTCGGTCGTCGAGAGAAGAAAAATTTCATCAGAAAATCAGCAAATGTTTGTTTACCAACTTTTATTATACATATCTATATATCAGATCAAAGAAACGTTCAATAGTACCGACAATATGATCGACACCTGTTCTTACTACCATTCAGTATTTGAACAATAAAAAGCTTATGTTGTTTGCCAATAGTATTTGATAGCTTTGTTAGCAATTCTATGGGAAATTTTACTACTCCATTGTGTGTTGCACCAGTTGAACAACAGTGAATAAAAATGGCGTTAGCCATGAATTTATGGGGCAAACGTATTATTACCGAATATCATATTTGTAATAATAAAGTTATTTTTACAATAATAATTTTATAAACTCTTATATTAAGAGTAGTGTGCGTGCGTGTGTGGGAATTATATGCGAATTACATGATGCAGTTTCGTCGTCGTCTCCGTGAGATAATACCTAATAAAACTAACTTAATACGTTCAATACGTTTACCTAGATCAGAATTTGATAATTGCGGAAAACACACAATTACACGTGTCAATAATTCTGACATAACCTTCAATTTGATTAACTAATTCGTGATACGTATAATAATAATAATAATAATAATAATAATTAACGTACCGATTGCTGAAATATAATCACTAAAGGGCATGGTGAATTGTGTGTGTTGGAGCAAACTTGACGCGTTCTCTTCGGAGCGGAGGCTCAGATAAGAATCGTGTTTACACGATTCTCGCAGCCGCGGTGCAACTAAGTACTTACTTCATGACATTAATTATTATATTAATTAATAAGAAATAAATGTTCTTATACCTTTAAAGTATCGATTATATGTATAATTTCACAGGAAATCTTTTGAAACTAAACCGAAAATACCTGAATGTAACAGGGAATAGAGTTTCAAACTCGTGGAGGTGTGCAAATAAAACAACATTTGATCGAGCGTGAAATCAAATTCGGGAAACTGGTTTTACTATAAATAAACCCTGGAAAATTCTGTTGAAACGTTATCCACCTGGATTTCGAAACAGAAGCTTTTGATATCGGTTTCCAAAAGTTTCATTCCTGACAGCAGAATTGAATAAAGTACAGGTAGCTTTTTATTCAAAAATTGTTTAGTAATGTTCACATTCTTTTTTATATTTCCATTTGTATAATAATTAAATCATTAATTTAGTTTATAGACACTGTGAAAATTCAAAATTCTTTTCAACCTTCGACGATCCACTTATTAATATAATTAGTGTTTCGAAAATGAATTTTATAATTGTTAATAACATTCTGTGCAATTGGGATTCTAACAGGTGTGTGCGTAACAAATAGGTACTTAGCCTAAGCGTAGCTAGTGAACATTCGCTCTTCAAACTCTCCATTGAATTATTTTGCAAATTTCAAAGGTGAATTGCAATATTTAATTAATTACATAGAACGGGGGTGTGAGATAAGGTAAACAATCAACAATTCCAAAAATTGTTCTTAAAATAAAATATAAACAATTAAAGGATCGGCTACTTTTTATAAAAATAATTTCTTTCGCTTTGAAAAATAACTTGTTTTCAATATTTTTTTGTTTCTTGAAGTAAAAGTATTACCAGTCTGTGAAGAACATTTAAAGTTTAAAGGTATCTATATCTATATCGATATACAGACACATAGATCTACTATGTATTTTAATTT